TCGCTAGAACCGTCTGTAGAAACCCCCCCCCCCCCCAAAAAAATGGGGCAATGATTGCAGTGGTGGTTGCAGTGGTGTTTGGTGTTTTGCTTTCTTTTTTTTTTGTTTTTCCTTCAAGTCATACTTAAACATTCCCCCTCTTCCTCCCCCTTCCCACCAAGGAGTTTCAAGGAGCTGAGCACGTAACGGATCAGGCTCCAATGGCTTGTTTTATACTGCAGGTATGACAAATGCTATCCCCAGTGTTCTGGTGACCTAGCAAGAATGCTGATGTCTTGGAGCAGGTGATAAAGCTAAGTTGCTTTCAGTGGATGGTAGTATTGCCTGTCTCCCAATCCTATGGTAAGATGCAGCCTAGGGACATGTAAGTGTCTACAGAATGGCACTTAAGGTTCCCCTCATGCCTGTAAGTGGCTTTAGAGCTGGCGTGAGGCCTTTAAACACACAACACATTCTTTTCCAGAAAAACTATAACAATGCTGACTAGTAAGAGTCACAAGAAGCACTGTGGTGATGTTTACGTATTAAACTGTGCCTTAAAGCCCAGGCAGGGAATTACTAATTAGTCAAGTTTCCATGTACCACTTTATCGAGTATGCAATCATCTGATCACCTGACACAATTAATACAAATTGCTGTGTCTCCAGTGTTGTTGCCCTCCAGCTGAGGAGCGTTGCCAAGGAAAGGTTTCAGAACTTCTCTAGGAGAATTAACTTCTGTCATTGCTTTTCTCCAGGGGAAGTGGCCAATGAGTGTAGTCAGGAGAGGGGACAAGAAATGGCTTAAATGCAAAGAGTTGTTTCCATAGGGTCCTTCATTGTGAAGGAACCTGTCTGGAGGGGTGACCTGCTTTTGTCTCCTGGGATGGGGTGCTCCCCCTTCTGTGTCTCTTGAGGTGGCCAGACCTAGCTCTTCCCACCCCCCATTCCCTATGGCCCTAGAGTTGTTCCAGGTAGATAGCTTTCTGACTCCTGAGCAAGGATGTGCCTGCTTCAGCTACCTGTGTAGGCCAATCTTCACATGTAGCCACTATCCATTCTGGGCAGCTATACTGATAGAAACAGGTGGCTGAGAAAGAAGGATTAGGCAGAGGGACTCTTTGACTAAGCAGCAGCCAAGGATAGGGTATTGTGAATTCCCTAATGGGCTTGGAGTAGAACTGTTGTATTGGTAAAGAAAAAAAAATATATTTGGTAGCAATAAGTATCCTTTCTCTCCCCCACCCCCCCCAGTTGCCATGACATAATCAAGGAGCATTGGGCCGTGCTTCCAGTGAAGTCAAATGAAAGACTCTGTCAAATTCAAACCAGGTTCTTCATACAGCAACAAGGCGGCTATCTCTTGAACAAGGGCAACTAAAAGGAGGGTGTAGTAGCCAAAGCTACTTCAGCCTGGTCTTTTTACTGTCGTTTCCCAAGATCTTCATTTGTGAAGGAAGCTCTTGGTTGTGTAAACTGGAAGAGAATAACTGATCCTTCAGCTTTATTCTGCACTGCAAGGCCCGTCCAGTCTTAGGCTTGCAAATGTTCATCTTGGACCTTGCAAGCTGTGTATTGTGCCCTTAAAGCAGGGGGGGAGGCAGGGGAGGAAATAAGACTCTAGTGTGTGCCTTTGGATGACTTGACTGTCTTCATGAATGCTTATAATATTCTTTCCCCTTCCCTGATTGACTTGGACAAAGAAGGAATAAATCTGTCTTTCTGTTAGGTTTTTCTTTTCTATGTCTAACTTCATCAGATCTTGAAAGCAAGAAGTAATTGTAAGAGTACTTGATCAGCTGTGGCCAGATGATTGCTTGACATCTTACTGCGTGCTGCTGGGATTTGTGGGTACAACTGATCTGCTTCATTGGGCAAAACGCATGTCCCATTGTTTTTCAGGGTCAGGTCCCTGTTGCTTCCAGGAGTAGCCGGGGCCCAATCGTGAGAGAGAACCCTGGGGTGTGTCTCTGCAATGGGGGAGCCCCAGGTTTTCCCATGAGCAAATGAGTGCCTGGGGGATCCTGGGATTGCCTCTGCAAATGGAGGACTGGGCAGGTACTTCAGGGGCTCAATCTATATGCCTCAGGAAAGAGAATCACTGGGGTGTGCAGGACTGGGTCCCTGAAGCCCTGGGAGCAACTACCCAGGGAGGCTGGAAAATGTAGGCAGCTCCAGGCTGCCTGTGCTCGCCAGCAATAAAGCAAACAGACGTCTGCCACAATATGGGTGCAATGGATTTGTGCCACTGCTGGCAACCACAAATTTTGGGCATTTGTAGTGTGCCAAGGGGCATGGACTTATGTTTGCTTAGCCTTTGTGCCGCCATAGAAGTCTTTATGGTGGCACAAAGGTGCCCTCTCTTTCCAGCCTGTACTCAGCTGAAAAGTTGACATCCTAGAAGGGATTTCTGAAAGTGCTATAAAATATACTGGAACTGCATTATCTGAATTTCCCGGCTAAGAATGTTATGACTTCTGATCAGAAACCTACAAGCATCTTTGTTTAATGTTTCCTCTTATGCTGTAGAGAAGCTAAGATTCAGGCTGAAAAAATGGCATGCTTTTTTTGTTAAGGGGACTCTAATTGAGCTGCTCAAGATAAAGAGCTAAAACAGTAGGCAAAAGAATGGCTCTCTGCTGCGAAAAGTGGGTTTGAGGAAGTTGTTTCTCTACCATATGTTGGTAAAGCGTCATGTTCTGACATCCTGTAAATATGCCAAAGAAGAAGTTCAGAGCATTTCTCCGCCACCCCTACCTCTTAAATCATGACTGCTAAAAGCCTTGACGTTACTGGGGACTAGATAACAAAGCACAGCCCAGCACAATATAACGTTCTGTCCAAGGTATCTTAGTGAACGTGGGCTAACACAGCATACCAAAAAAAAATCTAGTGTTTCTGTATTCTTATCTACAGATGTGTAGATAAGATAAAATGCATTTTACACTGTGCAGCCATACTCTTGAGAATGAGCCCAACCCTTAATTTTTGTAAGTGGTTGGTTTTCTAATGCACTGAAGACTCGATGAATGCTGAATTACAATTTGTTTTGTGCAATCAAGACTCTAGCAATGATCTGGAAATGCATTGGATACTCATTGGGGTCATCCTGTCATGTTTTCCCCTCTCCCTTTGGGAGACTGTGTATGTTATCACACCCCCTATGGAACTAAGCTTTTGAGAACTGGAAGTCGGTCATTAAATATTCAGAATTTCATTTTTCGAGATGTGAATTTTAAATGCTGGAACAGAAACTGAGGGATTTTTTTGTAACTAGAGAGGTCATTGATCTTGATATCAAGTTCCTCAATTTGGCAAATCCAGGGCACGGTGAAGAGACCAAACCAGCTCCAAAGTAAATTGGACGTGGTCCATTTGGAATTGGTCCAACTGTATTGACCTTCAAAAGGGTACATTTTGAGCAATGGTAGAAAAGTAAATTTGTAGTCCAGCTTTCTTGTGCCTGCCTGCTAGTAACTTCTCAAAGGAGCACTTTGAAGTAGCCTGTGAACAAATTCCCACATTGTTGCCATGATTCATGAGCAGCCTGTTTTCCATAAGTCTCCATTCTACCTCTTCAGCTTCAAATCTCTATCCTTCTTTTGGCATATCCAGTTTTCCAGATTGGTACTGATCTAGAGCTTCAGTTCTGGAGGGCACATATTGTCTCAGTTCCTTCCTGATGTCAAACCCTTTTGGTTCCCCTGTGCAGAATATATGCATAATTTGCTAGTGTGCATCTTTTCTGAAAGTACCTTTTTT